CAGAAATGCACACACAAGTTATGGCCAGATGATTTTTGACCAAGGTGCAAAAGTAACTCAAAGAACATTTTCAATGAATTATTGGAACAACTGGGCATCCACAGGCAATTTAAAAAGTCCCTCAACTAAACTTTGAACCTTATACAAAAATCAATTCAAAATGAATCATAAATGTAAAATCACAAGACTTAACAGAAGGGAAAACAGAAACTCAGTTTGGCCTGTGATTTGGCAAACAGCTCTTAGGACACCAAAAACCTAACATGTAATAGAACAACTGACAAGCTTGGCTTAGTACAAGTTAGTAAGTTTTGCTGAGAGACACTGCTAGGAATGGAAAGCCATGTTAAAACACAGGGATAAAGGGCTGGGGTACAATATTCGCAGGTTATGTATCTATACCTGCTGAACACGCAAGACTCAGTCTTAATAATGTGCAAAAAATTGAGTAGAGATTTAAAGAACAAGATGTAGTGGGGACAGAAAGAAGCAAAGACGTCCAACAGCATTAAACTCTAGGGAACTGAGGTCAGTATGAAACGCCACTGCGCAGCTGTCAGTGACGCAGTGAACCCTGCAGAGACACAGTCCAGGGGCCGGGGCCCTGAGAGCTGAAGGGTGGACACCGGATGTGCCACCCACTCCCGGAAGTGGCTGGCCGCCTTGTGGTGAGCAGGGCCTGAGGCAGGACCTGGGCCCGCGCCTGGGAAAATGGAATTTCACGTTCCACAGAAACAGGTAGTGAAATGTTTTGAGCAGCCCTGTGAACAGTTGACCCAAACTGGAAGCAGCCCAAGTCCTGTATCTTTAACCAGTGACAAGAGGGCAAGCCCAGTTTCCGTGCCTGGACTTCTGTCAGCAAAACTAATGCACAAACCATGAACACACCCATTCATTGAATCACACAAGCAGTTGCCAACCTTAAATCAACCGTGGTACTTTACAACTACTTTTATGTCATTGCCCAAAAGGTAGAACTAGTGATGGAAATAAATCAGTGACTTTCAGGGTATTAACAAATGGCTGTTACCAGGGAGACTTTCAGGGTTGTGGAACTGCTCTAAATGTTGATCTGGGGGATCATTACATAAATGTATATGTCTATAAACTTATAGAACTCCTCACCAAATATTACAGTTTTATGATAACTGTAAAATATACTCTTTTGCTCATATTTGGAACTTGCTAGCAGAAAAAATTAAATTTGAAATCCGTTTTACTTTCTGTAATAGTATTTCCAGGATGTGGAAAACAGGAATAATGATGGAGAAGGGCCAGGACTGGATGCTTCAGAGAAACATCTACAAATCTCAAGCCTTCCCTTGTTTTACCACTTGGGCCTAGAGGAGAGGTGTGGATTGTGAGTGCAATTACATCTGTAGTGACGGAAGCAAAGCAGGGCAGAGGCAGCTCTGTCAAGTAATCTAGTGATAAAATAAGGGGATCAAATCTGTGCTTTCTGATTAATTCTCTGGCTGCTGGGCTTCTCGTTATCATGTAGCCCCCCGTGTGTTCCCCACCACTAGAACACAGTTAAGTCAGACAGAGGAGGTTAGACCCCTGGGACCAAGCACTCCATCTGCAGGGTGCTGGGACTCCAGAAGCTAGGCACATTAGCAGAGCTTTCCTTGGGACTGCTACCCTCCCAGCCACTCCCCAAGGAAATGCACCTCAGAGCCCACCCCAAACTTTTTAATGGCTCAGGTCCACAGTTTGCAGTCTGGCAGCAAAAGCTTAATGAGCCCTTCTGTCCCAGAGTTGTCTCTGAGGAGGAAGATGCCAGGTGCCTGGGATCATTATATTTGAGGGTGTGCTGCTTCTCTTAAAGTCATGATTTGAAACCCTTCCATCTAATTTGAGAGGAAGCCATTCTAATTACCAGCTGATGTGGTTGGCATTGAACTACTCAGCCACCTCCAGCAAGTCTCTTCCTCCTCCAGAAAGGCAGCCCAGGGAGGGGGCTGGGTTGTTCTCTTGCTCATTTTCACTTGCAATCAAACCCCAAAGGCTGATTCTCCTGTTTTCATGGTATCTTCTAAACCTAGTCTTCATTTACACTTGAGTTTTAGCTAAATTCTCGAACAGCTTCCTTGAGTAATTAAAATGCTTTTCCTCCTACTTTTTCCTAAGACCTACATTAAGTTGCAGTACACAATCTGCCTAAAACATGCCGTATCGATGTGTTCACTTTCCCTCCATCTCAGTTAAAGGAAAACCCAAGCTCCTCAGTTTGAGGTCAGCTGAGGGCTTCAGTAACCTCTCCCAAGGTGGCATGTGTTCCTCATTTGGCTATCATCATTTATAGACAAATTGATGAGTAGCAGAGGCTATTGAGGCACTGTATTTAGAGAGGATTAATGAGTCACTTGGTGCTCAATCTCAGTTGAGTAGTCTACTGATGGTGACAACACAGCAACAATGATTGTTTTTGTGCAACATATTTTTCAGGATGGTGTACATAAAGATATATTGTGTGCACTTTTGTTGCCAACCAATTCCACAGCTGCAAAACTACTCAAATCTTGAATGAGTATGTAGCAGGAAAACTGAATTAGTCATTTCACTGGGATACACATGAACAGAGGGGCTACCACGATGGCATGGCTTTCTAGGTTCAGCACTTGTATCAAGGAAGTCACTTCTGCGTATGAGTCTATGCTCTGGTGATCAGAGAAAGGCTGGCTAGCCCAACAGTGTCACCTGAACTAGCCACTTTCGAGAGGGATAAAATTAACAACCACATTAAAGACCACATTACCTCATATCTGTGCTCACAGCTCTCTGAGGACATGGACACAGGGCACACATGCCTTGTCTTATACACAGAAGAGAGGTTATTTCTAATGGTTGATCACCAGCCAGTGGTTTTGAGCTATAAGAGCTGCTATAGAGATTTATTTGAGACAAAAATCACTATCACTAGCCCATTTTGGTGACATCAATTAGGTACAAAATCTTGCTTATTCGTGTGATATATTAAACCTGCCCAAGAAACTCAAACTGTCCCTTCAGGAGAGAATGAAAACTGTGTTCAAGTCAGCAGATAAAGTGATTGTATTCAAATCCAAACTTGAAACAAGGGAGTGATGAGTAAACATTGGATTTTTCTACATGTTTCAAATGTTAGCAGAAATTTTAATAAAGAAACTGACCCAGAGCCTTCTTTCTGCCATCTTGTTCATGGTCACTTATCTAGCTTTCAAAAGAGTTCAAGAATTGCTTCTCAAGCACAGGAGACCCCCAATCTGGGTGGGAAGGAATGGCACCATTACCTATTCATGAACACACCAGGTGATACAACTTTTTTCCTTCTAGAAGATCAACTGCTTGAGATCACAAATGATGGTGGCTTTAACATTATGTTTGAGAAAAACCTCAAATTACCTTGCATTCTGAATTAAAGTCAAAGTGGAATAGCCTGACATTACCACAAAAAACATGGAAAAGTCTGCCTCCATTTCCAACATCCTGTGTTTGTGGAGGAGGGTTTTCTTCAATGACCACAAGCAAATTGAGATTATGGAGTAGACAGGACTTAAGCAGCACATTCCATGTGTCGCTGTCTCCCATTACTCCTAGATGGGACTATCCAGTTGCAGGAAAAAAAGTTCATGTCTCCCACACATTTTACATTATGGTACACTCTATAATTATGTCATTACAATGTAATAATAATAGAAATGAAATACACAATAAATGTAATGTACCTGAATCATCCCAAACCCACCCCCAACCACAATAGTCCATAGAAAAATCATTTCTTCAAACCAGTCTCTGGTACCAAAAACTTGTGGACTGCTGATATGTGTTAAATAAGCGAACACAATATTCTAAATAATACAGTGTTTTATTTCTCTGAGCTATTTACAGAAGCCAAAACTAGAGAATGAAAGGGAATGGTGAGTGCCAGAGCTGGAGAGGGAGCATGGAGGCACTGTTTCCTGATCTCAGTCTTGTAAAATAGAAAGTGGTGGTAGGTAAAAGAATAATATGAAGGAACCCAAGATTCAGTAGTGTGCTTAAAAGTTCTTTAAATAGGGCTGAGGATTTAGCTCAGTGGTGCTGTTGCCTGCCTTGCAAGCTTAAGGTCCCTAGTTCAATCCCTGGTACCAAAAAAAATAAAGTAAGTTGTTTAAATAGAGAACAATGTTACATAAATTTTCCAATGCAAAAATTAGGTGGATATGGTTAATTCCCCAAAAGGACCTCATTTGATGGCCCCCTCGCCCACAGAAATTCACAGCCATAGTGAGCCACTTTGCCTCTCTCAAGTTCCACCATGTTCTGTTGAGGCCTAGCCTCCCTCACCCTTCTGGACTAAGAAGAAACATAAGGAAGAGTCATCTTACACAACATTCCTGAAAGCATTGCCTAAAACACATGGGACCACACAGCCTTCTCTATATGACTACAGAACATGACAATCAATGAATGGAAGTGGGAGATTTTTTAAAAAGGGAGAGGTGGGGAGACAAAGTGGCAGAGAGATATCTTCATATAAACAGATAACTAGTTCATTGGATTAAACTCTACATAGAATTTCTCATGACCGCAGCCTGCCCCACAAGCAGAAAGACTTGAGTTCAACCTCTGGTATCAAAAAAAGAAAAAAGAATTTCTCACCATGTCTTTGTCCACCTTTATCCTGACTTTCAAGTCACAGGGTAGGATAGTATTATCTACACATTCAAGAACTTTGCTGAACTGTTATGGGAATTTTTATAACCCAAAGAGAAAGTTGTGAGTGCTGGTGTGAAATTATTAAAATTGAAAAATGTTGCAAATCTTCAAATGCTGTCTCTTTCCATCCAGGCATATATAAGGCAGGTGCCATGGAAAGTGAAAATGTGATTTTTCACAATACTTTTGTCCTGCTGGGCTCCTCAGAGTTTCCGTGGCTGGAGAGGCCCCTCTTTGCAATGGTCCTGGTCTGCTACATCCTCACCCTGGCATGGAACAGCTCCATCATCCTCCTCTCCCTGGTGGACCCCAGACTCCAGACACCCATGTACTTCTTCCTGGACAACCTCTCTCTGCTGGACCTCTGTATCACCTGCACCATTAAGGGCCGGCTGCTGGCCAACCTGTGTGGATCAGACAAGACAATTACTGCCTGCGGCTGCATCTCACACTTCTGTCTCTTCCACTGGACTAGCTGCACTGAATGTCCCCTGCTGGCCATGATGGCCATTGATCATTATGTGGCCATCTGCTGGCCCCTTCAGTACACTCTCATCATGTGTCCCTGGGTGTGCATGCAGATGGCAGCTGCATGCTGGTCAAGCAGACTGTCCAATGCTCTGCTCCAAGCCATACTCACCATCCAGCTCCCCCTCTCTGGGCACCACATCCTGGACCACTTCTTCTGTGAGATACCTGTGCTCATCAAGCTGGCCTGTGGGGACACCTCTGCCAATGACCTGGCCCAAGCTTTAGGAGCCATGTTTTTTGCACTACTGGCTCCCATAGTAGTGCTAATCTCTTACACCCTCATTGCCAGGGCTGTACTGAAGTTCCCTTCAGCTGAAGAAAGGCACAAGGCACTCAGCACCTGCAGTTCCCACTTGCTGGTGGTCAGCATATACTTTGGACCAGGCATCTATATGTACCTCCAGCCCCCTGCTCACAGCACCCAGTCCAAGTTTATGTCCTTCTTCTACTGCATTATCACCCCAGTGCTCAACCCACTCATCTACAACTTGAGAAACAAGGATGTGAAGAAAGCATGGAAGAGGATCGTGCAATCACAGGGTGGTGTCCAGTCTTTAAAAGACAGACACAAGATTCAAAATTAAATAGAGATTTTGAAAGTGGAGCAGGGAAGAATGTTTTGAGGGAGGAAACTGGAGGGGAAGAGGACAATAAAGAAGTAATATATGCTATATATATGTACAAATTCCTCATAATAAACATGAGCATTATGTGCTGAAATCATGTACTAGTAAAAAAGTCAATAGCTTATCTATACACCAATAATAAAGTAACTAAAAAAGAAATCAGAAAAATAATTCCATTCAAAATAGCTTGAAAAAATAAAATGTCTAAGGATCAGCCCAACCAAGGATGTTAAAAGCCTTCCACAATGAAAATTTCAGAACACTGAAGAAGGAAATTGAAGGAGACACTAGAAGATGGAAAGACTTCTCATGTTCATGGATTGGCAAAATTAATTTTGTTAAATTGGCTGTATCACCAAAAGCAATCTGCAGATTCACTGCAATATCCTTCAAAATTCCAATCATATTCTTCACAGAAGTAGAAACAAATCCTAAAATTCATGTGAAAACAGGTAAGACAGAATAACCAAAGCAATTCTAAGTAAAAAGAGAAAGTCTGGAGGTATCTTAATATCCAAAGTCAAATTGTACCACAAAGCTATAGTAACAGAAGCAGCATGGTATCAAAAAAAAAAAAAAAAAGACAAATAGACCAGAATAAAGGACCCAAAAGCAAGGCAAATGGAGATTTAAAATGGCAGATTAAAAACCAGCAGCAAAACACAGCCTGTTGGATTCTAGGGACCTGGAATCCAGACACCTGGTGTAAGAACTGTATGGCATCTTTGGTTGTTTCCTTTTCCCCAAAGAATTAAAAGTAGACCTCCAGAGATCAGGAAAGAACTGGCAAGGAAAGTAGAAATACATGAAAATTGAAAATGCTGAGCACAGTACAGAGAAAGTAATGAAATAGTCTGCAACACTAACTCCAGGTCACAAAAAGAGGTCCTGGCTCCACTCATCCAGGTTAAGCATGGGAGATTGTCAGCTTCAGGGAGAAGCAATGGACTGGGCTGGTATTGCTAAATCCCAAGAAGCCCACAGTTATTGTAAACTGCTAAAGGATCATGGAGTTTTATCTGAAAGTAACTCCTTCCACATGGCAGTCTAGAGTTGAAGAAGAAATCCAGTACAGAGCCCATCATGTTTGAGTGATTAGTGAGAGAAAGGGTTAGTTGATCAGCAGTGAGCTACAAGGCCATCTTGGGAATGGTTCTAACAGCCTGGGGGAAGGAGAAAGCACTGCAGAGGACAGAATCCTGTGACAGGCCCCTGATATTCATTCCCTCCCACTTTAAAGGAAGGGGAAACCCAGCATGGGGGTGAACTGCACTTAGGGCCCAGGGAAACCATGGACTAGAACCAGAGAAATGGAGGCCCAGTAACGCAAAAATAGGCAATCTGCCCCAACACCCTCCCAAATACCAGGAATACCACATCCCTGTAGCGTCCTCCCCACCACCCACCCCTCAGGGACAGAAAGGGGAGCCTTATGGCCTGGGCACAGAGAAGCTGAATGCAGGGAACGGTGTGCAGCCCAGATGTCACTGGGAAGGGCTAGGAGATCTCATTCCTGGAGACATGGGGGAGAGGAGGGAATTGCTGGAGCTGAATAGAGTGGGAACTTTCCTATTGCTTCCCCAGACACCAGAAAGATCTGAGACAGCATGAAATCCTTCCCACCACCCACTGCCCCACATGGAAAAGGAGAACCCTCTGCTGAGCCTGGGGACTGAGCCAAGGTCCATAGTTTGGAAAGCAGAGCTCTTGGGAGGGACCAAGGTTGATAAAGGCCTGAGGGTGAAGGGACAGAAAGCATTGCCTGAGCTGAGGGCTTCTGCTACTACACAGAGCAGAAGGCCCCTGAGGGAGAGAGTGTAGGTGATGACAGGTGTTGCCCTGCAGTGAAGGGTGAGTCAGCGGTGACCCCTGGTGGAGGTACCAGAGAACTGGGTGTTGGGCAAACTGCACTATATCCTCTTCCTCGCAAATTAATACAGGAGGTTGGATTTTGAGACAGAGACAAAGGTCTGCAGTTGGCCAAACCTAAATCATGGCTTGCATCCAAGAGGCAGGTTCACAGACACTGACAGCCCTCACCATGCCCAGGCAAGTGGTTAAGCTGTATGCAGAAGAAACTGCAATGGAGCTACAATGACAGCAGCAGGGAGCTGCGCGGACACTCTGGCTCCATGGCATAGCGGCTGTGTGGGGGCTACTTGTTTGTTTCCCTTCTTGTCTGTTCTGGGACTTTTTTCTCTTCTTTTTTCTCCTATTCTTGATTATTAATATTATTTTTACTTTTGTTTTTTCCTTTTTTCTGCTTTTTCTGAACCTTTCTCCTTTTTTTTAACATTCTTTCCTCTTTCATTGTCATTTTCCCTATCCACTTCTCTTTTTTCTTTCAACTTTTTTGCAACATATATGTAGTAAGTGCTTTATATGTACAATAGGAAATGAGAATTGAGCAGTGCTTTAACTTGAATTGAACCATTTGTGGCCACATGGGGAACTCTCAGCAGAAATATGTTTAGAAAATTCAAACAACACTAACTACAAACAACATTACAGCCTCTCTCAATCTCTAGTTATACTTTACTTCCTCGGCATCTCTTCTCCAGCCTCCACAAATATTCTTTAAGCTTTTTCAATAATAGCCCTTTTTTCCAGCTATAAAAATAACTCCAACAGGGTCTGATCTTCTATTTTTACCCCATTCATTTCTTTTATCTCCCTCTCTTCTTACTGACTTACCTCCTTGCTTTTTACATCCCCATTTTTTTCCCATCCTTTGCAGTCCAGCCCAACTGCTAATAGGATTATAGTATAGTCTGTGAGGGTTGATGATAGAAGAGAAAAATTATCAAAACTAGTTTTAATGTTCATGATTGATGTATGATTGGACCTGTTGATGGTGTTGAAGCCAATGGGAATTCTCTCCCTATAACACAGTGACCAGGTCCAACCTGATTAAACTGAATATGTAAAAGAAGTAGACAATACCTCTTCACAAATAAAACCAAGATCATGTCACTGGAACACAGAACTTAAAGAGATCTTCTCCCAACAACAAATTCTTCTCCTTGTATTTAACCTCAACCTTCAGCACAAAAAAGGGAACATGAAAAACAAAAACAACAACAAAATGCCTTTGAAGATGTCCAACTCTCACAGAGCAAATCCATGAGGCACTAATGGAGATGAAATCAAACACTAAGTAGCTGAATTATACAAAATTATCAAAGAGGAAGCAAAGAAACTTGGTGAGCTCAAAGGTAATGTAAAAAAATCAGATAGTGGAATTAACAAAAGGAAAAATTCTTAAACATCAAATAAAAAGTAGAAGAGCTAACCAAAGCCATACAATAGATGAGGGACAAGTCTACCAAAGAAATAAAGTCCACCAAATCAGAAGAAAAGAAAAGAAAATCAAAATCCAAAGAAAAAGAAGTCTACTGAATATATGGACAGCATAAATGATCAATGTATGGAGAGTTCCAGACCTTGAAAACAGATAGGGAGCACAAGACCGTATACTCAGAGATAGCTTAAAACCACAAGAGTGCAAGGAAAATTGATCAAAGAGCTACTGGATGGTGCAAAGGAGCTAACCTAAGACTACTGGAGTTACAGAAATTTTAGTGGTCAACATGCATAGAATAAAAAAAGGTTTAGAGAGCACAGCAGAAATTTTTTCAAATATGGGAAAACAACTCATATAGTTAAGTAAAACATACAGAACCCTAAATAATTACAACAAGAGGAAAATTCTTCATAACACATCATAGTCAAAATCCCAGAAGGCTAATTCAAGGTCAAAATCTTAAAAGCTGTCCAGAAAATTAAAAAAACAAAAATCACTCATAATGTTAAACTCATTAGGATTACAAGTGATTTTTCAGCACAAAATTTAAAGGCCAGAAGAATTTGGCCTGAAGAGTTTAATGCCCTGAGGGAAAAAGGAAAGAAAAGTAAAGAAAACAACTTTTAACCCAGACCAACATATCCTGGAAAACTTTCTTCCAAAATTGATGCAGAGGCCAGGTATGGTGATACATGATTGTAATCTCAGCTCTTGAGGGGCTGAGGCAGGAAGATTGTTGGAAGTTCATGGTGCCAATCTGGACTAAATAGTGAGTTTGAGGCTAGCTTAACTCAGAGTGAGAAACTTTCTCAAACCCAAAACAAATGGCCTGGTATGTAGCTCAGTGGTGCTGTGCCTGCCCAGAAAGCACAAGGTTCTAAGTTAGATCCCTGATACCCCCCAAAAAATTGATGCAGAAATAAATACACAGAAGCTCTTAAAAATTGTATCTCCAAAGCCAGCACCCAAAAAATTCTCAATATACAGTAAAGTGTAAATATAACCAATAATGCCAAAGAGTTTCATGTAATTAATACACCAGGCAGATTGAGCAGGAAAAAATAAAGTAATCAAAAACAGTAAATTAATACAATGACACAAATGAGTCAATATCTTTCAGTAATAACTTAAGTGGCCTCAACTCCCCAGTCAAAAGACACAGATTGGGAGACTGGGTCAAAAAGCAAACCTCAAAGTTTTGCTCCATACAAGAGACACATTTAATCCAAAAGAATCATACACTAAAAACAAATGATGGAAAACAATATTCCATGAATCAGGACTATGAAAACAAAGAGTGGTAGCAATCTAATTCCAAGATGAAGTGAACTTCAAGCCAAAACTGATCAGAAGAGGCAAAGAAAGTCACTACATATTAATTCAGGAAAAAATTCAAAAGGAACAGATAATAATTGTAAATATATTCACCAAATTCTAATACACCTACCTTCATAAAACTACCACTACTGAACATAAAAGATCAAATAAACATGAAACAATAATAATGGGGAATCTCAATACCACACTTTCACAAATAGATGCACTAGGCAAAAAATTGATGCAGAAATATCAGAGCTGAACCACACTTTCAATAAAATAGATTTAATAGATATGTTCAGAGTGTTCTGTCCTACTACAACAGAATAGACATTGT